TTTCCCTAAAGATTTCATCAGCTACATGTAAACTGGAGGCCACCTACACAAAGGCATCTTTTCTGATTACATAAAGAAGTAACCTTTGTCGTTTCTCTTAGGATGGGCACCCACTTCTAGGCAGACGTGCCTTCAGTTTAATGCCTGTAAACAGGTTATCTTCTGAACATTTGGACAGAAACTTCGCAACCAACATTTGACAGGATAAACAAAGGAAAACAAGTCAAGCATCATTTCCCATGAGGAAGTAAACTATTGTTTGATAGGATGGAGCAAAAGATTCCCAGAAGTCTTACTACAGATGTAGTAATGCTACACAGAGGGTTATTTTGAAAATTAGAGCCTCAATGAAATATATAATTGCTCTTTTGTTCAGTGTTTAAACTCGCACAGCTCCTTGGGCATGTTAACCTGTCTGCATAGCAAGGCTGTCATGCTGCTGCCTGCAAGACAGCACGTGCATGTTGTACCAGACTGTTGTGGCCAAGGTTGATGGCCTGTCTGAAGCCCTGGGGGGTGATCCAAGCTCCTGTCCTGTGTGGTGGGAACAAGGGTAAGATTTTCAAAAGAAGTGAAGGAGCAGATGTTCTGGCATCAAGGAACAAAGAAAAGTATAAAGTGAAGTAAGAAATCCAAGAACATCTGTGAATGTTCCTAGAGGGACTTTGTACTAATACTTATTAGGTCAGGGGCGTAGTGTTAGAGAATCAAAACTAACACCCAGCTATCCCTTTTGCCTAGTGTTTTTTCTTGGTTATTCAATTCAATAAAGGGATTTTTGGCTGTGGTGAGCAATTGGAAAGAATAGTCCCTGTGCACAGGTACAAAATGTAGGTTTTGGATGTCTGTAACACTGATGATCTGTAACTCACAAGCACTTTTCCAGACATATTCTATACTACTCTGCCTATACATTAAGATTTAATTGATCAAAAATGTAGAAGGTAAATGCAGACAGTAGAATCTTTACCCATACCCAGGCATATTGTCAGCTTGCAGCAAGAAAAGTGGTGGGATGAAACTGTTGAAGCTTTGGTTGAACTTAACATTTCAAGCATAGTGTTCTCCTTCAGGAGAGAGTGCCTGCATTTCTTTGCATGTGACAGCCAGCACAGAGGAGGCCAGAACAGAGGTTCAAAACACAATCTTTCTCATAGGTTACAACACTTCATGTTACATGAGTAAGTGCTGGTGAAAAGGACAGTGAGATTAATTCAGGTTGTCAAAACACAATCTTTACTACAGGTGAGGTATTTATTAACAAGATAATTATCTTGAAGGTGAAATCCTCTCCCCTTTCCATCCCTGCAGAGATTTAAAAAAACCACCAGCACCTAAATAAACACAACCCACAACACAATAGATCAAAATCACTGGCTGAAATTTTTGCTTAGGTAACACACACAAAAAATTATCTTCTGCATCCAATGACTTCACACCAGGTAGTCACTTTTAATCAAGCTCTGTTACTTGCCTAGTCTAAGAAATATAGTTGCTAAATATTTAACTACCTTGTGGAACTACTCCCAGAGCTCAGTTTTGCTGAGTGTTAAAAGCTTCTA